TGATGAAAACAAAATTTAATATGGTCATAAATACACAAATTAAGAAAGGATGACTTGGGGCTGGATTTGACCAATTAGATATGCTTAACTTATTGAGGGAGGGGGATGGATACCACAATTTTTGAAAACCACAATTTCTTGAGGCATATTAGGAAAGACACTTTTTTCTCCAGTAGGAAGAAAAACAGTTGATGGAATGTCATAATTCTTATATCCAAGGCTGCTGAACAGGCTTCAGCAAACTTTACCAAAGATGAATGCCAGAGGGTTAACTCTAATATGTGACCCTTCCAACCACCATGAGCATCTTATAAAAGAAAAGGTGCGGTGGTGGGCTTGGTCAGTTACGGTGATGCGTTACTGCCAGCAGAGGCGAGATGAGCAGATGAGGTCTCGCTATGAGTTTCATTCTGTTGTGTCTCTAACTCTTTGACGACCAGACACTTGGCTCCTGCATGGGTAAATCCAAGCCAAACCTGTAAATATGGTGGCCCCAAAGCAACAAGAGCACTTAATCAACTGAGTTGAATCACGAACAGTCAATGTGAATTGACTGTTACCTTTTTCATCACTTTGTCTTTTGAAAATCACTAATTACGACATTATTATGGTTTGAAAATCACTAATTACAATATTATTATGGTTTTTGCTAACTTTAGGAGAATTTTTTTCAAGGGGGGATATTTTGACACTTCAGAAATTTTATGTTTAAGTGCTAGTTTAACTACAATTATTCAGGAGAATTATAACTCAGAAGAGTGAAAAAAATTTCAGAAATAGTAACAAAGCCACTGAAATTAATACTGGAAAACCACAGAGAAGGAAAATAGTGCCAGAAAACTGGAAATAAGCTGGTGTCATCAGATCTTCAGAATGGGAGAAGGGAAAACTAGTCCTGTGAAGCCTGGTGTTAGCCCTCACCACATTTCTAGAACAAACTAATTTAGCATGAATGGAACGTGTGCCCACTAAGTCTCATGTACTTTGTAATAGTTGGAAAATAAAGCAGTAACTTCTAGGAGCCAGCATGAAATTGCTAAGGAGTCTGAAATGTCTTCTTTTAAATCACAAGGATTGTCATATTCAAGTTCATTCTGCTCTGATTATTTAAGCGCTGCTGTTACACAGCTTCCATGCACCAGAAGAAAAGACTAGATTACATTTAAATGAAATTAGGAAAGGGACAGGGGCAATGTCTTTCATTTCACCTAAAACCTTTCTAGGTTTTGGTGTCTTTATCTATAAAATGTGGACCATAATAATCACTGACCTATCTCCTGATATAAAGAATGAGAAGGGCTTTTAAAATGTTAGTGACGTGTAATAAGGAAATCTTACAATAAACAAGAAGAAAAACGTGGGGTGGAGGGAGAATGAGGGAGAAAAGCGTGAGGGTGAGCAGGCATTGCACATGTGACGTAAACACAACTTTAGGGTAGAAAAAGACCTTAAGGAAGAATGCTATCATTTAAAAATATAAGTGAAACGAGGCCCAGGGAAGAGAAGTGACCTGTGTTAAGTCTCACAGCAAATTAATGGTGAGAAGAAAGAAAACCAAAAAGGGAAAGAAAAAAAAAAACCTAAGAGTTAGAAGTCAAAAGGGTTCTTGTGGGTACTGACTCAGAAGGCCTGGTACAGCTCGCTAGGACCTTTCTCTTAGCTCTGAAAACGTTCCTCTGCCTTCGGAACTCGGCCGAGTTGACCATGCTGGACCATGGCTCCCTGCACAGGAATCTTCCCAAGGGTCCCCCTCAGAGAGCAGGGTTGGCACCCCGCCATGCTCAGCATTCACCCTTTTATCTGCACGGCTCTCCCCCTCCAAGCCACCGTCCATAGAGGAGAAATCAGGGCCCGCATCTCGTTGCCTGGCTCTCATCCCTCTGTTTTACAAAATGAAGCTACAAAAAAAAACCTTTAGAGTACTTTGCTTTAGAGATTCAAATAACTGCAGAGATTCAAAGAAACATACATTCTCAAAATTATTTTAGTTGGTTGTTACAACACCAAAACATCTACTTATTTGATTTATTTGAAGAGGAATGTATCTACTGTAACTTAATGATTGTTTTTTCTTTTTATGGCAGTTAAGTCAGTAAAACTAACAACGGTGGGACAGTATGAGTCTTACGTGTGGAGCTGTATCTTTAAGGATAAAAACTTTTTTATATCACATAAAAAGTTATAAAAGTTTTTCTTGTTAAGTTGTATCTCATTATAGAAAGGAAAATGATGAAAAAGATATTCCCATGAAATAATTTTAGAAACAGAGAAAAAAACGAAACCTCTCAGCTAAGTGGTATGTGGGTCTCTAGGGTTGGACATGGTTGTTAGCTCACATCATCACGGGAAGGTTTCCTGTACAGTTCTCACTGTTCGTGAACTCATTTGAAAGTCTTTTATTCCCTATAGTTTATGTATATTTAATTTTTAAATTACTAAAACCATCCCACATGGTAAAGAAATAAGAGGAGAAGGATGCAATGATTTCCTTAAATTGCTTTTGTCAACGAGATAGATCAGCAAGTGGCTAACAGCACATCATAAATTCCTTTGCTCCCAGACAAACTCCCCTGATAACACAGGGCGGTGGCACCACAGTCAGTTCTGACACAGTCTCAGGGCCTCAAAGTCTTGCCCAGAAAAGAAAAGCAATTCATGTGAAGAGCCGTGTTTCAGGAACTGTGACAGAAAGGTATTATCCCTAACAGTAATTTAAACTAATAAAATAAGTAAATAAAAAGTTTTCCTTTCTCCTTTCCATTTCCAAAGTCAGTGTCTCAGAAACCATCACGCTACTTGAAACCGTAGCAGCAGGAAGAGTTGATGAGCCCCATTTTAAGGCTACGTTTTGGAACTCAAAAATGTACTGTCGGAGTCGTGACTGAACAGGATCGTTAGGGACATGTGGCTGAAATAGCAATTACTACTCAGTTTAGTCAGATCAGTTAAGCCATCTGTGATCATCAGCCAAGCCTAAGTCTGCCGTAATTCAACGAGTAACTCTGCTGTGTCACGGTCATATACAATTCACTGACTGCAGTGTTGTGTAGAGCACTTTGGACAACTGATCAGACGCATATGGGTTACGTATAATGAAACCATAGGTACAGAATGTTGCTCTTGTTTGCCTGCCTACAGTTCACCTTGACCCTCGTGTTTGTCCGGTTGGATTTTTCTCTCTTTTACACCAAAGCCCACCTCCTCACCACCTCCAATGGCTGTGCCACACCAGCATCCCCCGTTTGAACCACCAGCATCCCCTGTTTGAAACACCAGCATCCCCCATTGCAACTACCAGCATCTCCCATTTGAAACACCAGCATCCCCCATTTGAAACACCAGCATCCTCCGTTTGAAACACCAGCATCCCCCATTGGAACCACCAGCATCTCCCGTTTGAAACACCAGCGTCCCCCGTTTGAAACACCAGCGTCCTCCATTTGAAGCACCAGCGTCCCCGGTTTGAAACACCAGCGTCCCCTGTTTGAAACACCAGCATCCCTCCTTGCAACCACCAGCATCTCCCATTTGAAACACCAGCATCCCCCGTTTGAAACACCAGCATCC